CAAGAACTAGCTCAGTGATTACAGACATGATAACACTCGTTTTACTGATAAATGATTCACTGCCGATTTCTCTTTCTTTTTCTAATATTTAACCTTTATTTAGGAGTTCAAGGTGGGGGCGGGGGGTTGTTGCTAAGAAAGGCCATGTCGAAAAGTAGCTAGGGAATGGCTATCAAGGGTGATTTTAGAGTAGAAATGAGGTCTTCATGAACTCATAACATTTTGGAGACAGCAAGAGAAGGAAAACATCTCTAACATTTTATTTCTTTAAAAAGATATGCAGTCAAGGCTTCAGAGAGGGACTGTCTAGTCAGCCTTCATCATTGTCCGGATGAGAAATGTCTAAGTGAGAAATAGATCTCAGAATTCACCCATGGTGGGTGGGGGTTTCTGCAAATGAAGTCAGATGGAGAGAAACGTAGATCGGCCTGATGACTTATAGCTTATTTCCTCACCTTTTTATTTAAATAATCATAAAAGGGGTGATATAAATACTGTATGAAAAGATATTTGAAAGAGAAGCCAGCCGGAATTCACAAGAGGATTAAATAGAGAGCTAATGGTCTCTATTCAATTATTAAGGGTACTATGATGAGCCCTATGTGACATATCCTGTGTAGCATCTGTCCTGTTGCCTTGGTAGTAAAGAGACAATAGCACGGGGAAGCTGAAGGCCGTCGCCAAGGTGCTTTTCAGGGGTAACCACTAACTGCCCTGTTGAAAGGCGCTTAAGCGCATCTTAAAGGACAGAGCCTGCCCTCCTGTTGTCAAGTTGTGAAAAACGGCAAGCTTCAGGGGCTGGTCGGTGGGCTGGGTGGTGGTTTAATTGGGTTTGATTCCCTTGAAATGTTCTGGCTCCAGGAAGAGAGAGAGGAAAACTTTTCGGTCAGCATTTGGCCGTCGGGGCCTGAGTGAAAGGGGTGAGATGTTGGCTCCATCGCAGAGGATCCCCAGGGCGCCACTGCCATGGGCTTAGCACGCAGGGCCCCCGGGGGGAGGCTTAGCACCTGCTGCCTGGACCTCCCTTCGCCCGGTTTGAGAGGGAGTTTCCCTAAAGTCACAGTGATGATTCCAGAGAACTCAACTGGGGAGCCTGGGATTGAAGTCACCCTTATTGTTTCAAGTCTGTCTATTTCCCCAACCCTCTGGGAAGGAAAATTTCAATCACCTCTTATTAAACCTTTAATATAACAAAACAGAAACAGACTCTCAGACATAGAGAACAAGCTAGTGGTTAGCAGTGCGGGTGGCGCTTATGAGATACAAACTTCTATGTATAAAATAAAGACAAGGGTATATTGTACAGCGCAGGGAAATAGAGCCAATGTTTCATAATAACTCTAAATGGAGAATAATCTATGAAACTGTTGATTCACTATGCTGTATCTCTGAAACTAATATAATATTATAAATCAAATGCACTTCAATGAAAAAACGAAACAAAACAAAAAACTTCAGGGGCCTGGATTCATGGAAACAGTGGTCTAATATTTCTGCATTGAACACATCTTAGAGCAGTGGCTAGGGTCTTTTCTGATTATAGAGAATGGCCACATTCATAGACAGGTCCTAGTTGCACTCAGATTTCCAGGACTGAACAATTCTTTCTGGAAAATTCCGAATTTTATGTTTCTCACATACCCTAACCACACCTTAGACTCACTGAATCAAGCAAAAACCAGAGCAGCTGCCTTCACTCTGCTCCACATACCACCCAGAGCATCATATTACCCCTCAGTGGCTTTGGGTAAATTACTCACTGTCTTCATGGCTTGGCTTTGTCTTCTGTACAAAGGGGGCAATGATGGAAGCTACCTCATGGAGTGGTTGTTGAGCATTAAAGGTGTTAAGTAAAAGGCTTAGAATAGGGCCTGGCTTGTAAATTTCAGCTATCACTGCCCTTTCATCTGCATCGAATTGTCATGACAGTGAAGTATCAGGGCCATAGGGCATGGAAGGGCTCACCCAGCAACACCTTCCCAAGCCCCGGTTCCTAGGGGATGTCTCCGCCAAGCTGGGAAAGCCTTGCTAGCCAGGCTGGACAAACTCGGAAGCCGCAGGCCTCTCTGGAATCCTTCAGACAAGTCTCTACATGGCTGGCGATGGGTCACCCCCTCCAGGCTCTGTCTCTTCAGGGAGAACCATTCAGATAAAGCCCAGCCATGCAGGGATGTCAGAGCTGACACTGACCATCCTCCAGAAACTCTGGTTATGATGGGTTTCATTGCAGATAGACAAGCCCGTTGCGCTACTTGAAAGAAGACAAGGGTTTCCGCGTTAGCATGTGCTGCTGAGAAGTGAGTGCGGCCGGGCAGTTTCTCTGATGTGTCCACCTCTCCTCCTCACACCCCCAGGTTGCAGGAGCAGATTCCTGCAATGTGAGGAAGCACTGGGTATAGTTTAGCAATGGGACTGTCCGACAGCCCATCACGTCGCTTCGCCCATGTGTTTTCAAAAATGCGTGCAATTTCCACCCCAGGTCTGGGCTCTGCACTCAGCAATCAGGCAACATGATCTGAATGTAGCTGGCACCTCACACCATGGAGAAAGTGAAGCGTGATGGTCCGATGTGGGCCAGTGCACTTGCCGATGGGGGATGCTCTTGGAACAATACTGACACCTCTCACGACATCTTGTGCCCCCTCCCAGCCTCCGCTGAGAGATGTGAACTGTTGCAGACTGGTCTGCCTCCCTGCCTTGAGACTGAGGAGGTGGAGTTGCTCTGTGGGGTCCAGATTGGCAATTTAGAGCAGATGGAGATTGTAGAGGAAGGGCTGGGAGCCACAGGCTGGGGTGGGGGACCCTTGTCTGCAATGCAGCCCACCTAGGACTGTATCCTCCCCACCCAGAAAACCACAGTGGTCCCAAGGCTGTATCCACAGGCACCATTGTGGCTTACAGGGAAATGAACAATTGGGTCAAATAGCCCTGGACATCTGATTATTTTTTCACTGATGTGACATTTACAAATCTGAACTGATCAAATCAGATTCCAATTTGGCTAACGTTCCTGGAGCCTCTGGCGTGTGGGCAGAATCACGCTAACACTCACGTCTTGTTTTGACCCGGCCTGGCCAAAGCTCCCGTTCGGTTGACACGTACTGAGAACTGCTTCCATGCTGGGCACAGGGGTTCTGAGACGCACAGGAGAGGATGCCTCCTGCTTCTTTACCGCCTGCCCGGTGGTCCCAGGGCTGCTCAGCAGAAGCACTTGCTTGTTCTCAAGGCAGTTCATCCTTTAGGAGTTCCGGGTCTATGTCTTACCCCAAAAGAGAAATGGATGCTGACACTGAAACTTGTTATTGAACATCAAACATTCTGTTCTCTTCATCTGGCTTTTGATGAGAAACTGATGTCGGCTTCTCACTATTGGGGAAATAATCTCATCCCCTGCAGACTCGCCCCTTCAGCCCCATCCCCACCTTCTCTCCAGCACAGGGCAGGATTTCCAGGGTGGGGAGTGGGCACAGAGACCTCTTCAGGGGTCACGGTTTTTTTTGCTTCCTCCTGTAGGCAAACTTGGCTGTGTGCTGGCAGGGCTGAGGGGCAGCGGGGAGAGGGAGTTTCCAGTTCTGATATGAAAACCAGAAGAGAGGGAGATGACTGATACATAAAAAGGCAGGTTGATTTTTCACACTGTGCAGGGGTATATTTTTAAAATCTCGATACTGAAACACAGACCCAGCAGGCAACTCAAGGCTTCATGGTGAGGGGGCGGCTTCCACGAGGTCAAGTCCCAGCGGGGCCCATGGTGGACAGTTGGCATCTAGTTCCAGCACGGAGGGGAACCCCTGTGTGTAGGTGAAGGGAAAATCCTAGGTTCAGCTGTGCCCTCCCCGCCTGCCCGCTGCGAGGTCGGGTTTAAGGCCGGCCCTCCCTGGAATCCATGTAGCACCTTCTCGTAGGTTTAAAAATAGACTCCAGGCCTGCCAACCCTCTTAAAAGGAACATGATGGGAAGAGGGCCAGCACCGTGGGACCTGACACCCGGCTCCCATCAGCTCCCTAAATAGACCCCGGACTCCAGGTCCTGCGGCCTCTGAACTGGCTGCTGGGAACTCCCCACGCAAAGTTCAACAGGAAAGCAAGCCAGACTCTCTTTCCCTCGCCTCTGCAGGTCTGAATTTCTCGGTCCGCTGGATTTCTCGGTTCATTCAACATGACAGCCGTACCATCTGTTCTGTGAAGTACCCCCCCTAATTAACTAGGGAGGGGGCCGGGGTGGGAGGGTTCAGTGCTGTCCACAAGAGGGAAGACATTTCCTCCCGCAGCAGCAACAACGCTCTAGACGGTTCGCAGAGTCCTGGGTGGCTGACCGCTGCCCCGGGTGCAGATAAGCCGGCCTGCCTTTCTCAGTAAAGGGCGGAGCCCTGGCGCCCACCCTTATCGGCCTTGGACAGAGACACTGGGCCGGGGCACCTCCCTGCGTGGGTGTGAAGCCCAGCAGATAGAAGAATGGTCGGGGGCAAAGCCAGCCTTGTCAGCTGGGGAGGAGCTGCGGCCCCAGGCTGGGCTCAGGAGCAGGGCTTCAGCTGTATGCGCACCCTGAGACCTGGTCCTCCGCTGCAGAGAAAATGGAAATGGAAAATGATGCAGCGGAAGACAGCCCAGGAGGTGCAGCTGCTATAGCATCACGGCAGCGTGCTGGGGGTGCTGGGATCCTGCTCCCAGCCAGGGCTGTTCTGACCTTGCAGAAGCAGTGACCGGGCCCTAATTTTCCAGTGTAGAAGCCAAATCAGTCATACTCCCTGTCTCAGGGTGGGAGGGGAGGAGGTCACCTTTGACCAAGGCTTTCATGAAGGAAGCTAGAGGGAAGGAGGAAAAAGAGCATTCTTGCCATTCCCTGAGGACCTACTACCTACCTGGGGTGGTGCTGGGCATTTTTACATTATTTGCACAATACCTGGGGTGGGGGGCAGGGGAAGGTTACTTTCATTTCACTGATGAGGATGCGAGTGCTCAGAAAAGTTATTTCCCCTTATCAAAAGTACATGAGCCTGCTAACTTTGAGTATTTTAAAGCTGCCCAGGAAAGCAGATGGTGATCCTGACACTCAGGGAGGACCCAGCCTGACTTGATTGCAGAGGAGGATGAAAATTGGAGGGACAGGAGCCCCATGGGTCCTCCAGTTCCCTGCAGGGGGAGAGGCATGGTCACTGCTCCAGGTGTGAGTCTCCAGGAGGGCCATCTCTGGAATCCCAGCTCTGCCCTGAGTCTCAGCTTTGAAGTCCCTGGAGCGAGGAACCAGCTGGGATCATGGCTGGTTCCTGCCGGAAGCTGCCTCTTCTTGTTCCCCCGAAAGGTTTCTGGGGAGGCAGTCATCTGAAGACCCCAAGCACCCAAGATCCTTTGCTTCAGGCTTCTGAGCAAAAGGAAGCATGCTCCCAGTTTGTGGAAGGAGCTCAGGTTCACGGGGGAGTCCGTGGCAGGGCGCCCGGGAGCTGCATCCCTTTCTTCTCCCCGCGCCATCTCCGCGCAGCATAGCTGATGTGGCCTGGAGCACAGAACTCCACAACTCCTCCAGCACCTCATTAGGCTTGTCCATGAGGAACTGCAGAGACAGTTGGTAAAATATTCAGCACGACTGGGGAAAAAACTGCACACACCATGAACCTGGAAGATGGAACCAGTGGTCCTTACCAAGCAGCCCTCATCTTTTTCTTAGCCCATCGATTCCTCTCTGCTCCTTTGTGATGGTTGTTTGCTTTGATTTCAGCGACTCTCCTGGCAGATCTCCCAGGCATACTAAATACCTGTAATAAAGATGAATAAGTAAATGCATTACCATGTATAGAACAGATAACTAGTGGGAACTTGCTATATAGCACAGGGGGATCAACTCATTGCTCTATGATGACCCAGAGGGGTGGGATGGGGTGGGGTGGGGGGTGGTCCAAGAGGGAGGGGGGATATATATATATATACATATATGTAACATATAGCTGATACACTTTGCTGTAGAGTGGAAACTGACACAACATTTTAAAGCAATCTCACTCCATTTTTTTGTTTTAAAGACACATTGAGAAGAGCAGTCTTCAGGCATGAAAATATACAGGAAACAGGCAAGCAGCAGTATGATTCCTTGTTGTCGAAGGGTGTGGGAGTAATGGAAGGTTGAAGAGGGACAGTCTATTAAGAGGGGAAAAGTAAGGGCTTATGTTTCTGAATCCCTAGAGCCCAAAGAGGCCCTTAAAAGTCATCAAGTTTATCCTGCATTTCTATGTGCTATATCAAATGATGAGTTATGTTTCTCTGCTACTCCAAAGGACCCCACCCCACCCCCGCAGCAAGGATTCAGCTCTTTCTGAACAATGAATTCTATTATGTCACATCCCTTAGCACTGGAAAAAATTTCTTCTGTCTGATCTACACCTTCTTCACATCAATTTAATCCCATGATTGCCAGTTTCCTTATGACCCATGGAAATATTCATATGTCGGTCAGCAAGCATTTATTTGGCACCACCCAGCTCTTTGTGAAGTGAGGGAGAGGGACTGGGTCTATAGGACATGTGGACCAAGCTGTCTCTACCTCTAGGAAGCTTATAGCTGAGTCCTGGTGGCCAAGGCAGCTGGGGAAAGGGTGCCATATAATTCGCCCCACTCTGGGATCTGGGTTCTAGTGCTGAAGGGGATTACATACATCTTAAGAGCCATCTTCTTGAGCTTTCTGTCTTTTTAAATTTTTTTGGCATGTGGGATCGTAATTCCATGAGCGGAGATGGAACTGGTGCCCCCAGCACTGGAAACACAGAGTCTTAGCCCACCAGGGAAGTCCCTGCCTTCCCTTCTTTAGTGTCAATCATCCCAGGTCCTTTAACCTCAGACTTTATTGAGTAGCGTGCCTGGAGTTTTTTCCTTCTCCTCTTGGGCTTTGTCTGACTCTGCATATCTAAGTTGCAAAAACCTCAACCCTTCCGAGGTCACAACCAACCTCAAGAATTCTTGGCAGTCCTGAGTCCTCAAGTCCTCTAATAACACCTCGGGCCCTTTCCCGTTCTCAGCAGAACCATAGGTTGTAGTCAGCTTCTGGTCCACTATCTTTTTTCTTTGTGATTGTATTGGCTATGTGTATTGAACGTATTGACTATATAACCCACAGCATTTATGGTGTAAAGAACCCTGGGCTTCGGAGTTAGATTCCCTGGGTATCAGAATTGGATTGGGAGTTTTGTGCTATTTAACTTTGAATATTTCACTTGTAGGATCTCAGTTTTTGTGCTCTGGGGAGGAATTGGGAGGTTGGCATTGACAAACTAAATCCTCTGTGGTGAGCTGAATGGGAAGGACATTCAAAAGGGAGGAAATATACGTATATGTATGGCTGATTCATATTTCTGTACAGCAGGATCTCAGTTTTTGTGCTCTGGGGAGGAATTGGGAGGTTGGCATTGACACATATACACTACTGATACTGTGTATACAGTAGATAAATAATGAGAACATATGTGTAGCACCAGGAACTTTACTAAATCCTCTGTGGTGAGCTGAATGGGAAGGACATTCAAAAGGGAGGAAATATACGTATATGTATGGCTGATTCATATTTCTGTACAGCAGAAATTAACACAACATTGTAAAGCAACTCTACGCCAATAAAAATAATTTTAAAAAATAAATGTGCTATCTAGGAAAAAAGCTCAGTAATAAGACGACAAACAACCCAATTTTAAAAAATGGGCAAAATATTTGAACAAATACATCACCAAAGAATATATGCAGACAGCAAGAAAGCCCCTGAAAAGATGTTTAGCATCATTAGTTATTAGGGAAATGCAAATTAAAACCACAATGAAATACTACTACCCATCTATTAGAATGTCTAAAGTGGGACTGACCATACCAAGTTGGAGCTTGTCCTAGCTATTGTAAATAGTGCTGCAGTGAACGTCGGGGTGGGCTTCCCTGGTGGTTCAGATGGTAAAAAAATCCACCTGCCCATGCAGGAGACTTGGGTTTGATACCTGGGTCGGGAAGATCCCCTGGAGAAGGGAACGGCAACCCACTTCAGTATTCTTGCCTGGGAAAATCCCATGGACAGAGGAGCCTGACAGGCTATAGTCCATGGGGTCACATATCGGACAGGACCGAGCGACTAACTAATACCAAGTGTTAGCAAGGATAATGGACCAATGGGAGGGGCTACAAATGGGCAGGAGGAAACTGTTGGAGGTGATTTTGGAGGTTCCTTGTCTTGACTGTAGTGATGGTTTTATAAGGTTCTGTATGTATAAAAACTTACCAAGTCCATTTAAAATGTGTAGTTTATAATGTGTCAATTATACTTCAATACAGCTGTTCAAAATGGTCTGTTTTTCAGTTCATTGTGTGAGCCAATTGTATTTGTGCTTTTGAAACTATTATAAGTATTGTTCTTCTTCCATTTGAGTAGGGCATTTCTCTCTCTCTCAATATTAATGTTAGAACAGTGCTTTGGAATCCCTTGAGATATTGTGCTGGGCTATCATCAGGGCTGTTCCAGTAACCATCATTTATTAATTGAAGCTCGCTGTGTAGAGGCTTTTAGCAAATCTGAGAGGCAGTTTTAAGGGGGCACCATAGCAAAAGACCTGTAAGATAACAGGAGGTTTTAAAATGTGTGCATTTTTGTGCCTGAAGGAGGGGCTGTGGTGAACCCCCCGCACCCAGGCACCTGTCTTTGGTACAGGGATGTGGTGCTTTCACCTTTCAGAGGTTGCCTGTCCTCTGATGATGATGAGGGTCTTGGGCCTGGAGAATTCTGATGCCTCGTCTTCAAATACCAGTGTTGGCCCCCACACAGGAGTTCACTGCATTACACACTGCAAGTCACTCTTTTCTGGGAGCATCCTATTCCTCTCTCTTGATCCTTATTTATCCCTTTTATTGGGGACCTTCCCCTAATTGTCGAATAGTGCTGAAGGGGACCTTACTTGTTATTTTTTTTTAATTGAAATATAGTTGATTCACAATATTAGCTTTCAGTTTCAGGTGTACAACATAGTGATTCAGAATGTTTATAGATTGTATCCATTTAAATTATTATAAAATATTGGCTCTAGTCCCTGGGCTGCACTTTGCACCCGTATATCTTGTTTATATAACACCTAGTAGACTGTACCTCTTAATTTTCTTTCCTATCCCCTATCCTCCCCCTCACCGACCTCTCTCCCCACTAGTTTTTTGTATCTGTGAAACTATTTCTCTTTTTTTATATCCATTTGTTTTATTGTTTAGATTCCACATATAAGTGAAAATGCATAGCTCTTTGTCTTTCTCTGTCTGATTTAATTTCACTAAGTATAACACGTTTCAGGTCCATCCATGCTGTTGCCAGTGGCAAACTTTCATTCTTTTAATGGCTGAGTGATATTCCATTACGAGCTTCCTTAGTTGCTCAGTCATAGAGCATCCACTTGCCAGTGCAGGAGATGTGGGTTCAATCCCTGGATTGGGAAGATCCCCTGGAGAGGGAAATGACAACCCATTCCAGTATTCTTGCCTGGGAAATCCCATAGACAGAAGAGCCTGCCAGGCTACAGTCCATGGGGTCACAATAAGTCAGACATGACTTAGTGAGCACATAACTACAACTACAACATTCCACTGTATATACCACATCTTTATCCATTCCACTGTTGATGGACACATAGGTTGCTTCAGTCTTGAAAGAAATTGAAGTCGCTCAGTTGTGTCTGACTCTTTGTGACGGTATGGACTGCAGCCTGTCAGGCTCCTCCATCCTTGGGATTTTTCCAGGCAAGAATACTGGAGTGGGTTGGCCGTCTTGGCTGTTGTAAATAGTGCCGCTATGAGTGCATTTTTTCGAATTAGCAGTTCTATTTTCTTGGGCTAAATACCCAGGAGTGGGATTGCTGGATCATATGGTAGCTCTATTTTTAGTTTTTTGAGGAACCTCCAGACTGTTTTCCACAGTGGCTGCATCAATTTACAAGAGCACCTTACCTTGGAAAACAGTCAGTTTTTCTAACCTCAGAGCATCTTGCGTGGTGTCCCCTCCTGGCCCTGTGCACACTTAGTTTGGGGATCTTGCCAGTGCTGCTAGTGGAAGGGCTTTGGGTCAGCTGGACCCTCTGTTTCCCGGTAGTAACCTCGGACCTGACCTTAACCTCTCTGGGTTCAGCTTGTCCACCATACAATTTCACTAGCATCTTCTGGCTTAAGAGGTGGCTGCGAGGGTTAAATGAGGTAATGGCAAAATGTCCTTCACCTCACAGTTACTTAAGGGGTTGATGCCTCCCAAACACGCGGCCCTCCTGTGCCCCTGCTTCGGGGCGGGAGGGGTGGGAAAGAGCCTGTGCCATCCCAACTGCTCTTTGCAGAGAGCGTGAAGCTGGGCTCACGATACAAAACACGCATGTTGGAGCAAGCGGTGTCGCCAGCGGCCGTGACAGCTCCCGGGGTGCTTCTGCGGGCATCGCTCAGCGTAATCCCTGGTGCCACCCCCACCTCCCCGACATGTCTTTGACATCCCGCCCCCCCATACCCCCGGAATGACCTCGGGAGAAGGGGAAGATGGTCCGGGAGCAGAATCTGAGCGCTTCCTCCGGCCTTGGATGACAATACCCTAAAACCCGCGTCAGCCTGGAAGGATGAAGGAAGACGTAGTAACACAGTCTGGCCTCGCGGCTTCCCTCCGCCGCCGCGCGCTCTCGGCAGGAGCTGGAATCTCAGGAGGCACACGGGGCGAGAGCTGGAGACACACAAGGCGGCGATGGGCATAAATAGACTCTGCTGAGCTCACCGTGACCGGCCCCGCCGGCCCCACGGCCCATTCACCCGGGCGGCCGAGGAGGCAGGAGGCAGGGCGGCAACGCCATGCGGCTGGGAGCGCCTCACCTCCATTGGACGTGGGTGCCGCCCCCCCAGCAGCCGCAGGACGCTGCCCCCCGCCGGCCGCCCTCCCCGGCCGCTCGGCCCGCGCGCCCGCCGCAGCCTCCCCGCGCCC